GCCAAATAATAGGGAAGCGACGTAACACAATATGTGTCGGTTTAGATATAAAAACTATTATTATTCTTTCAACAACCGGAGGAAAGGTGTTCATAAGAAACGCAAGAGCATATAAACAATGGTGTGTTGAAGTTGGCTCAGAAAGTGCAAGCCTGTCTCGTTGCATTTGGGGGATTACTTCTACCCTGTGAATCCATATAAAGATCATTATTCGAGTGCTGCTGCAGACCTGGGACTCTAAGCATGACATCGCACTACCTCCATCTCCCATTCACAAGCAGTCGTGCAGAGTGAGCTGGAGAAAATCCCTTACGACTGGAAGTTTAGCTGTCCCATTTGGCCTCACACAATGTTCTGACTCATAGCCCAACACAGCGACAAGATGAATTAGGACAGCCAGATGAAAATATGAAGAAATGGAAAGGCTTTTTGCACATCAAAGCAACAAAGCAGATGGAATAATTGAGCTGCATTCAAGTAGATATAATGCTGTGAGTAGGCAAGAGGTAAAATGTGTTATTTTCTAGAGTAATGTGTGTGTTTGATACAAATGACATTGAACATAAATGAAATGATCATCTCCTACAGCTGACCGACACCACACACAAATGTCAAACTCCACATGCAGACTCTTCCAACGACCTGTTTCGGTAAAGCAGAAGTTTTGGTATTCTACTCAAGCTGACTCAGTGCTTCCAAGAACATTGACAAAAACCTAATGCATTATTCTGCATTTAAATTGCTCAGCTTTGGTTGCCCCTGGATACAAAGTTACCAACAGTAATTCAATATTTTTTTCCATTCCTGCTTTGAACGTGCCATAATATGTCAAACAAAAATATATTGTATCTAAAAAAAAGTGTCATCCAGCCAACTCCAGCTCTACCAGTACATGCTGCCGTACTTTGTGGTCAAGCTCAGACTCTCTTTAGTTGCTTAAATTCTGTCCAAAGATTATTTAAAAGGGACATAATTTTGAAGCTCAGAACAGCCTGAATCTTGTCAAAAAACAGTTTTACAATTTTGGTTTTCTGCCCCTGGACAAGGACTGGACTGGTTAGCTAAAGTGGCCCTCTTACAAAAGGCTTGACACCCCTGTAAGTTTTATTATTATGTATGTAATGTGTTTGTACGGATGGATGTGTGTCTGCTATTGGACACTGTATCCTACTGGATTTATAAAGTATCTATATATGTCGTAAAAGTATGCAGTATTCTCACTGTCCATCTCCTTGGTTGGCTAATAAAACATAATGAAACACCGGCTTGTATTGAGCCTGGGTTAATGATAGACAGTGGAACTTTGCATGTACACTAAAACTTTAATCCGAGGGTTCAGACTTTCAGACCCTCCACAAGCAAAGTTACATAAAGCCTCTTTTCGTTTACATCACAAAAAGCGTCCTAATCTGGGTGGATAATGCTTTCCTGAAACCACATAGAACAAAAGTCTCAACAGTCGAGATAAAAATCCTGCTCCTCTCTGTGAACTCTATTTCTGAGCAGTAATCTCCCATGGGACACTGAGGCGGCTAAACCTTTACCGCGATGGCCATTTGGATTCCAATTCACCCTGAGCTCATTTATTTCAGACCAGCAAATTTAAATTAGGAGTTAAAAGAAAAGAGAAGAACACCAGGCTGCATTTTAATAAGGCAAATTGTCTTTCCAACTGAGAATACATTCGCTTATGCAACATCGTATTGCTCCCCTATTGTTTTGGTTCCGTTTTCTTGTTTTGGCTTGTTATAATGACTACGCCTGCATCTCATCAACTCAACAAGTTCATACTCATTTGTTCCATGTCAAAAAAATGTATCATTAATATCCTTTTTATCATACTGGGGCGACGGTGTTGGTAGAGCATTGGCCTTAGAGCCTGAAGGTCGTGAGTTCGAGCCCACCACAAGACCTACTTCACAACTCCCACTGATGTCTGCTGTCGTTGTGTCCTTGGGCAAGACACTTAACCCCACTTTGCCTGAAGCCCTCGCTGAATAATCATGGCTCCAGTGGACTCAGCACCTGCAGGAGGATCAGTGAGGGGCTGGTGCTCTGTGTACTGGGTGCAGCTCTGACTGCCACCCCCCCGACCCAGAAATGGATTAAGGGGAAGAAAATGGATGGATGGAGAAAGATAAGACTGGTTTTCATTACAGCAGCTGCAATGTTCTTCCTGTACATATTTCTTTTTCATTATGCAATATATTGTGTGTATTGGATATTTTCTTTTAACTATGAAATAAAGATTAATAATAAAAATAAAACTAATAATAATAATTTCAGGTTAAAAACACAGTGGATCAGTGAATTGTGCAGTCAAAATAGAGGTTACCTTAATACATAAAAGTCCTTTTTGTCCTGATTTGTCCTGATTTGCTACATCTTGTATGTTAGTTAATGGGGTTAGGAGGAAGAAAAGTGATGAAGTGTTTTTTTGGTGATAAAAAATACAAGTGATTTAGAATGAACAACACCTTTAATTTCAATCATGATAATAATCATCATCATCATCTTCATGCATTAATAATGATGAATCTTTATTTGTATAGCCCTTTTAAAAAACTGCTGCAAAGTCAGCATGAACAAAACAAGTCAATAATAGTCTTTATGACATAACATATCTAAAAGAACCATCACAGAAAATACATCAGACAGAAGAAGACAACGAACACAGACAAGATCATAACAATTTAGACATCATCTCATTCTATAAACTCCTCGGCCCCCGGGACATTACCCTGTTCCCAGGACTGCAAACTTGACAGCGGTCTTTAGACAATACACATTTAGATTTATGGCATATGTCACCTCCATAAGTTTGTAGGTTAGCTAATTATTATCTTAAGAATACAAAAGTGCTTAGCTGCAACAAGCTATAGGGGAAGTTGACAAATTAAATCCCCATTAAACAGGTTTTCCTGAGTTATGGCCCGGTGGGAGAGAGCTGCGCACATCCTGAACAGGCTCATGAGATTCACTGGACAAGATTACACCCTGACACTTATCGGAGTTACATAACCTAGATAAAACTGGAATTAGCGTCCGAAACAGCACACAAGATTTAGGATAAAATGATATGTGCGGAGCTCTCTAAGGAATAAAGTCCAAGACAGACCGAGCAGTAAACGATGACAAAGAGTAAAAAGAGTCCATGGATGTTTGAGAAGTTGTTGTCACATATTTATGATCTTGTACACAAACCCTGTTGTCACATGTGCTTTAACATATGCACATGTACTTACTGTAACTATTATCACAGGTCAAAGTCCAGTTAGATGCGAAGGTAAGTATTGCCTGTCTATAATCGCTATTATAGGCGGAGGATTAGTTGGAGGAGACTTATATGTTTTCAATCATTATTAGATTCATAAACCTATCCTATTATTCTTATGGCCTTTCTACTGGCCAACACATTGCATTTGTTTTTGATTATAGTCACCACTTATTGACAACTTAAAAAGAAATTAGTCAGACCATAGTTGATATGTACCGACGAAGAAGATATGGATTGACCCAGAAATGACAAAACCCCTAAACTTTTTTGACAGTTACTATAGTTACCAGGCAGGATTTTTCACTATTATAACCCTTGTGCTATCCTCGCATTTAATTGACCCGCCACAGTGATACCCAAAAGATGAGTTGAATTGAATAATTTTTCCCAATTTGACCGGTTCTGGGTCATTTAGACCCTTTTAATTAAGTTTATTTTCTTCTACTTGTAATCACTGTGGTTCATTTGACCTGTAGGTTGCATAAGGGTTAAACGATAGGGGAATGTTGTGATGTCACATGATTGCAACATACAGCCAGTGTAATGATCGACTGTTACCTCATCTTATTTAAGACCTACAGCACTTCTTTATGCCCATTCTGTCCATCCAGCATTTGGTATAATTATAGCCTGGGGGAAGTTTTCCTTCTGCAGAATTGCAGAATAAAAACGAAATCTCTCACTTAGAGCCGTAGTACGGTGGGAGCAGAGTCTCAGCTGCGATGGCTGCAGTGAGTGAACCTGTCCACTGTGTGCAGCAAGGACACTGTTCAGACTTACATAACCGCCATTCTGGGTCAGCACTGCGGCCGTCCAGCCAAATCAGCTTCCTCAACAAGTACAGGTCTCTGACCTTTTCTTCATCGTTCACATCATGCACATTGAATATCATCGGAGCTGTTTTTACATCAGAAATCTGAATCTGTTGAGGCTCGGAAAGTAACATCATTGGCATTATTACTTGTCCTCTATGCCCAAACTTCCACACACGTTATCAAAGCAACATGAATAGATATAAATTAACCCTCTGGGCGCCACGGTTGACTTACAGTAAGTCAACCATATGCGGTACTGTTTAAAACTGCGGATTGTGTCAAGCAGGGTGTAAAAAATCATTCAAACTCCCTGCTACAAAATGATTGGCACTGCTTTATTATTTCCCCGACAAGTAGTGCAATGTGTTATGTGTGTTCATGTCCCAATGATTTGTATGTCTGTATGTCATGAAATCATGACAGACATGAAGATGCGTGATTGCCACCACTATATGCATATTAGATGGGTACATTTAATTCCTACACAAATGTTGGGCCATCTTTATCATTTCTCTAATTTACATAAAGCCTCTATCTCGTTATTAACAAATGAAGATGTCAAAATCGAGCCTCTTGGGAAAAAAACCTCTGGCGCCTAAAAGGTTAAGAGATGTGGAAGATTAAACTCAAACTAAATATATATTATATTACATCTAATTAAGTAACAGATACAGTACTTCCAACATTTGTTCAACAACTGTAGCTCTTGCTCTGAATGAAGATTGTATAAAATCTGGTGAAACAGGGTCCAGCTTTTACATAACACAGGATTATGGCATAATCCTCTCATGTCTTTGGAGCTCTTGAAACTTTAACTCCTCAGAGACTAAAGTGAAACAACTCTCATTGATTTCGATTCATGAAGAGAAATGAATGTGTGAATTATGATGTGTTTGTGTTTGTTCCAGGTGAGAAAGTGGAAGATGCTGTCGCGTCACCACTCGGACAAGCAGAGGGAGATGGAGGTGGACATGGGGGGCTGTCAGGCCTGGGGGGTCCACAGCCCCCAGCTCCTGGCCTCTCCTGTGATGATGGAATGTTCCATCTGCAGTGGGCCGTACATCTCCTACGCTCTGGAGGACAGTTGGCAGCCGCGGCAGCGCACACAGGTGACTTTACCACAGCCCCTACACTCACGTACACAAGTTCAGCTATAGTTACATTATTCCTTCTTCTTCTCTTTTCTTCACTTGAATAAAGCAATCCCCTTGTGCTTTCTGGAAAGTTATTTAGTACTTTGAAACCAGAAGTTTTCTACTTATTTTTAATACAATGCATCACTGTCAGAACTTTAAAGCACCACATATAGAAAAATACAGCTCCCAGTCTAATATAACTTTTTCTATTTGGTTCAAGAATAAGAAACATCTTTAATGAAATATTAATGAATAGAAAGCCTGAATCCCCATCACCATGGAGACGCTCCAACTCTCCAGTGAATCAATGAAAGGGAAGTCTGAAAGACACAGACACCGGGATAATTCACATGGAACAGAGAGATGCTCTGTGGAAGAATGAACTGTCATGTTTAGAGTTTAATTAAAACAGCATGTCATGTCTATTAGGGACGCTGAAACAGTTTAGTTCTGGCAAATAAAATATGTTCCGCACTGGGTTTGTACCACAGGCCATTTTAGACCAACACATTTGCATTGGAACTGTATTATTTCTTCTTTAACAAGCCTTACTTGAGTGAGATATTATTGTGATTAAGCAGCTTCAAAGTTTTGTTAAATCACTCGCTCTTGCCTCAGCACAACAGAACACACTCTGAAGAAGTCGTGAAATGTGCAAGAAGTTTTCAGGGAGGAAAAGAAAACTAGGCTAAGGCTGAGTAACACAGATACATTCATTTCTGACAGCGAGACTGACACCCAGCATCAGGAAACTGTGAAATCTGACACAGAGCTGAGGATTCATGGGAATATGGTGAAATCCATATGACAGGGAGATGTTTTAAAGCTGTCACAATGTGTTTATTTTTAGATCAAACTGGATGGACTTAATATCATACCAAGAGTTTGCCAACTCGCCTATATTAAGATGACCTAGATGTTGTTTCTTTGACAAGACAAATAGTTTAGGTTACAAACTTTAGACGGACAATAAACCCCGCCCACTGGGAGGAGACGCACCATCAGACCAACTGGCTGAGAACTGTAGTCGCTGAACTAGTTTGCATGCATCATATTATATAACGTTATAGCAATTTGCCAATTTCTTAGCTCTTTCTTCCCTCATTGGCAGGCTACCCAAGCTGCTAAGTGCCCTGCTCAAGTGATTAAGCGGGGCACGGGACATTGCAAAATATGTTATTAATTTCTGATTTCATTGCACACTCACACGCGTTAAAAGGACACAAACCACTCCCTTATCTGCTGCTTGTACTTTGTGGATAATTACGTGTGCCATTGGAGCAAAGGTTTTGCTCTGTCCAACGCTGATTAAGATCTCTTTCAATCTGCAAAAGAGGCAGACTGCTGCACTGAAATCCTCTGCTCTTTATTAGAAATGGGGCTTTTCTCACACACTTTATCTATGGGTCTGGGCTGATTGAATGCAGTCTCACCCTGGTAACCAACGCCTCATTAAAACACATAGGGAGTAAAGTAAGGAAGTAGGACATTAACTAGTGCACGACCAGAAAAGAGGATTCAGTGGAGTTGTGTGCACTAGATCATGTTCTCAAAAGCTTTTGTCCAGACTCTGTGTAAAGCAACGGGTGATTCTATTGTATATTTTCCCTTATTATCTGTATTTCTCCTCTAGGCAATGGACCTGTATTACCACAATGACTCAGAGCCAGACAACTACTGTTGCCCCAGCGACAACAGTAAGTCAACACCCGATAACCGTGTTTTTTACATGAAAATCCTCCTCCTTTCCATTCATATTTTTTCCCCTGCACAAAATGATTCAGTCAATTGTTTTCTAAGGATTGACCTATTATGGCCAAATAAGAATACAAGGATAATATTAGAGAGCCTATAATTGTCCCATGGCTGGATAATGTCTGTGTTAAAATGCATGGTGCAAGAAGCAAAAACGAATCACTCAAAAATAAGGCCAGCATAAAGAAAGTATAGGGAATAGATATAAACTAGACTAGACTGGCACTTTGATGCATTCAGTTCAATTGATAATAATTTTCTACTTAGGTCATTGTCCTGTGGGAAAAAGACTCAACAACTTACCTCTTAAACCGCAAAAATGTTATCTATGTTTATTATTTTACAGCTTTAAGTCCTTTCAACCCTTAAACATTTTCCTCGACTGACTGTTTAATCTAATGCATGTTCTGTGTTCTTATTTTCTCCGTCTTTAACCTTACATCACAAAGCTCTAATCCCTGCCCTAAGCTCTGTGGATAATAACTGCTGTTGCTCATGAACCAAAATGAGTATTTGCACTTTATGGGAGGCGGCAAAACAGCATTTACGGGCACAAAACACGGCACTGGCCTTGGGTTCGCCGTATGCGGTCATGACTTTTATTCATGTGAAGCGTTGATGCCAGTGGGGGAGAGTTCACTGCTTTTTTTATGGCAACATATTAAAGTGCTTGCGTTTTTATATGCGCCACTGCCGAGTCCATCCCAATGTCTGTCATGTTCGCACAGGTACTTTTTTTTTCTGGAATAAGTACTTGTTATTCCTACTCTTTACCCAAACCCAAATATCAATGCTTTTACGATTGTTTCAAGGGCAACACAAGTCTCAAATGAATATATGGGCTTTATACACAGAAAAGCGTGACGTCATTTCCTGTATACTTATAACGGTTCATTTACCTCCGGCCCGTGCTAGCGCTGTGGCCTGTGGTGAGTTGTACTGAAACTGTTTAGGAATTAGATCAATACATTCAGCGGTGAGACTGATCCAAAAGTGTCAACGTGCTTTCTGTCTGAGGATTAGCTTGGACTATGGCGGCTAACAGAGATAAGGTAACTTTACACAATGACGGCACAATTAATGTGTCCCGAAATGCCCAGCCTCCTCAAAGTTTAATTCCTGTCTGAGAATTATTTAGAATACTCGTGTAAATATCTGGTGAACTCCATCTCAGCCACAGTCAAACTCAAGCCGATCCTCGTTAGTTGGTGTCGTTCTAACTAAATTGCGGGAGTGGTGCGTGTTTAGAGCCTATTGGCCAACAAAATGCATGATACGTTTATTTTCTTACACGTATGTAATGTGCACTCTTAGTGGTCTAAAAAATAAGTACAATTGCAATCCAACTTTTGTCTTCAGAATACAGATTCCAGAAGATTTTGCCAAAACCAGCTACATTTAACCTGACAAATTGGCAACCCAAATAAGAAGCTCATTCTGCTCTCTGATTGCATATAACCTGTCAACATTAACATTACAAGAATAACTTCAGTTTAGAATAAAAATATTACATATGGCCCCTTTAAGTAAGGAAACTCTTTCGATACCTAAAGGTGCAGAATGTTAAAATCTGGCTAAAAGTGGTACTGCGCACTGCAATTCCAGCTGGGACCATAATATCTGAATAGACAAGAGTTTTGTCAACAACAAATCTATAATCAACACATTTTTAACAAAGGCCCTGAAAGAAATCCTCGTTTTATTCCTTGTTTTGTGATTGATTTGAGAATCATAACGAGACCGTTTTTAGTTCTGTGGCCACATGTTACTTTACCAGTGAACTTAGCTCAACGCGGTGAGCTCTGGCAACCCGGATCACAGACTTTCTGATTGGTGAAACGTTGGAGGGCGGGACATCGAAATGAAAACAATGGGCACGCACCACTTCCGGGTTTTAGCTACAACCCCACCTCACTTCCTGTTCGCGGGAAACGGCTTTAGTTTCACTGGAGTTCAGCAGTGGTTTACACGAGTTTCCCAAATAATGCTCAAACGGGAATTAAACTGTGAGGATACTGGGCATTTTTGGGACACAGCAGTGCTCTTTGATTGTGCTGTCATTGTGCTTTTATAAAGTTTAAACATCGCTCTGAGTGGCCACAGTCGAAGCTCTACCTCAGAGAGAAAGCACAGCGACACTTTTGGGTCAGTCTCACAGCTGAATGTATCAATCTAATTACTAAAAAACGTCATTAAAACTCACCTAAAAGCCATAGGATAGCATAGACAGGAAGTGAACGGGCTGATCTGCGTTAACAGGAAATGACGTCACGCCTCCCCTTGCATATAGCCCAATAACAAGATTTAGCATGGTTTATTAATGCCTTTTGACAGATTTGGTCCATTTAATCAGGACTTGACATGAATATCTTACATATTGCTAATTTAACCAGAGAAGATTTTTATTCAAACACCTACACTATACTTTTGCTCCCTCTGGTCACACTTATGCACGAGGCCAAAGATGCAGCAGTGCACGTACAGCATGTGGTCCTCTTCTATCTTTTCATGATTCTTCTCGTACTTTTGTGAGCTGAGGCCGTGTGCAGTTTGTTGGTTCTCTGAAAGCACCGTCTTCTCGCTGTTGCTCACGTTGCCAAGTCCACAGGTGCACACTGCTAATTGGTAGCTTTCTCAAGTGTGATATTTGAGGCACTAATTGGCTGAAAGTCTAATTCAAACTATTTAGAGAGGCATACGTGGATGAGTGCAGTCAAGAATATTTACTCTCAAGAGGCACTTACTCTAAACAAACCTTCAAAGTAAAAGTTGAGAATATTTAGGGAGTATTTTGTTCAACACCGGCCCCTTTCGATCACTATGTTACTTTGAGCATATTGATCTTACATTTCCTGGTTCAAAATGATCTTATTTATGGATATTCTGCCTGTGTACTCCTGCTACTATTACTATTATTTTAACTACTACTCTTACTTCTACTACTACTGCCATTACTACTACTTTAACTACTACTCTTACTTCTACTACTCCTGCAACTATTACTATTACTTTAACTACTACTCTTACTTCTACTACTACTGCCATTACTACTACTTTAACTACTACTCTTACTTCTACTACTCCTGCAACTATTACTATTACTTTAACTACTACTCTTACTTCTACTACTACTGCCATTACTACTACTTTAACTACTACTCTTACTTCTACTACTACTGCCATTACTACTACTACTACTACTACTGCCACCACTACTACTACTATTACTGCCACTACTCTTACTACTACTACGACTACTACTACTACTACTGCCACTACTCTTACTACTACTACTACTATTACTGCCACCACTACTACTACTAGTACTACTACTACTACTAGTACTACTACTACTAATACTACTACAATTGCCACTACGACTGCGACCATGGCTATTACTAATACTACCATCACCACTACTACTAACATTACCACTACTCCTACTGCTACTAATCTACAAACTATTACACCTATGCATCTTTCCTTATACAATGACTACTACTTACTGACAGTGCTGCTATTTTAACTTTATAACAACAGACCAAAATGAACCCAGGTTATTTTGGTAACTTTATTCCACAAATAGAAATGGGCCACTTGAATAATCCAAACAGAATATTAGTCACTGTCTTTTACAATTCAGTGTATTTGAATGTTGTTGTCAGGCTGTGCTTTATTCTCTTTATTGCTGTCCTCAAACGTTACTCTTTTGTCCTGTGGCTGTGGCGCAACTCGGGATAAGTCCTTTCTTCAGAGCGTGTATACCTTTTATTCTTTTGTGCTTAGTGACGCACTGCTCACCTGTGCCAGCCTGTCCTCCCCAGAGTCTCCCACACTCCCTTCAACACGGACAAAAACAAACAGCACTGGAAACTTACAAACCAGACCATAAAACTGGCTTCAGGAACATTTGTGTTGGAATGTGGAGCACAGAAAGGACAAACTGTTGCACTTAAGTGAGTGTTGCTAATCAGAAGGTTAATCATTTCTGCGCTGAAGGTTTCCCTTTGGTTTGGGGAAATTCCTTTTTCATTTGTAAAAAACATGTTTGATCCATAAGAGAATCCCTTGGACCTATTTAACGTAAAACAATGTAAGTTTTTTTTTTAAAGTGTTGGGAAGTAACGGAATACATGTAATTCTGAGTACTTTATTCCCTTGCAGTTACTCCTTTAAAGTCTAGTATTTAGAATAAAGTTACTTTCTGAAACTCACGGGAATACATACTTTCTCACATTACGTTTTAAGGTAAACAAAAAAATAAAATAAAACATTGGGTATTCTTAAAGGTATTGTTAAATGGCAGCTGTAAAAGCAATTTGATCTGTTTTACAAAATGAATCAATAAATTATTGAATAATCACAGAACAGGTTTTATTTATTAAAACATTTCTTGAGGTTGTGGTTTTAAATATTTTTAAATTTACCTTCATAAGTTTTGTAAATAAACATGAATTATCAATAAATATAATACAAAAATAATAATGAATTAAATGTATAAATAAAAGTATTTTAATAAGTACTACTTTTTTCCCATAATAAATTTTATGTCATGTATTCAGTATTCTGGAACGGAATACATTCTCAAAGTATTCTACCCAACACTGGTTATTTCCTAGTTTTTCCAGGTACTTTCTGGACTCAAGGCTAACATAAATAAGACCTTGTGTTCATCTCAACAGAACAAAATTGTAAAAGTAAAATGTTTTGAACAAATCAGATGCTGTCCTCATCTTGGAAAGCATGATATTGTTCACATATTTGTAAGTGAGTCACTATTTGACTCTTTGGGTGAGCTGATGGGCTGAGTATGGGCTGGTGACCTACAGAGGCCAAAAATACCGTACGTGCGTGTGAAAACTAGTGAAACTGTCTCAGAGCCAGAAACTGTTTACATCACTGGCTCTACAACTTGCTCCATGTTTTTGTAGTTTTAGGAACACCAGCTTTACTGTCCCTGTTGATGCAATTTAGGCAAGGAAACAGCTGAGTCATACGCTTTTAAATCACACTGTGTACTTTAGTTGTTTATGTTGGACCAGAGCAAATGAGAACATGGAGACTAAACTTTCATTACAATTCAACTGTTGAAACGGAAAAGCGGAGGTAGTAAACCATAAAAATACAAAAGGCACAAAAGCTTCTGGGTTGACCAGTGTGTATTGCCAAACCGTTCAACCCAAAACCTTACAGATCATGGAGGCGTGTAACTGTGGCAAACAAAACTTAGAAAACAGATGACGCTATGTCAAAAAGCGGGGTTGTTTTTAACTACGTCTTGAAACGAGGTCAACCATAACCATGCGCCATAATTTGCGAGGCCCCACATAATGAGTTGAGGGGCCCCCGTGGTTGGGACCCTCAAAAACGATGTCTGCAAACACACATGCAAGCGTTCACAATGGCCAGTGTCCAGGCGCAATGAAAAAGCCGGGGCCATCCGCTCTGAATGGGTGAGAGATTTATGTAACTGTGTCACTAGGTTCTTCAGCGCCGCTCATTCACATTCACCACCAGACAGATTGGTCAAACTATGGCCACGAAATAAAATGGACCCCTCTTTGTGTCTGTAAAGAGAAAGTATGTAGCGTTCAAATGTGGTTATGATACTGGTCATGGGCAGGCACAGACATAAATGTGGCCAAGCTGGATCATTAAAAGTCCAGAATCAAACTCATAACGTTTTACAAGCAGTTTTCTACCATAATTTCCATCACCTCAACCTCTACCCGAACCGAAAGATTGCCTTATACTGTACATAAACCTCCCACACACTCAGCGATCAGGAAGCAGAACTGGAGTTTCACAAACACCGCAGAGTGACCTAGACAGCTGTGATGAAATGCAAATACGGAAGGCGTGAGTTTTCCATTCACAGCTGCAACTATTTCACTGCATTTCTCAATTTCAGTATTGCCGTATTCTGGACAAAAAAAGGCTTCACATGGTATTATTCACTCTGTGCCCTGCTTTGGTGATCTGCAGCCACAGTTGCCCTGCTGCAGACTGACAAAAGCAAAGCTACTAATCTGTGCCATTGGCCTCTCTGACCACCTCCAATCATTCATGTGCACCAGACTCCTACACAATGTGAGTGAAGTTTCTTGCCGAAGGACACAACAATGTTTTGACCATTTGCAGCCGCTGTCCCTTCACAGCACTAACCAGGCCCGCCCTTGCTTGGATTCGACTATAGCTAATTAATTATCAGCTATATTATGAATTAGTAGAATTATCACTGCTCGGTTTAAACAACGATCAAGAAAGATCAAGGCTATGCTCACACTCAGAGAGCAGCCGTCCTCCTGTGGACTCACCACCTGCAGAGGGTCAGTGAGGGGCTGGTGCTATGAGACTTGGGTGGCATCTCTGACTGCCACCCCCCTGACCCAGAAATGGATTAAAGGGAAGAAAATGGATGGATGGATGGATGGTTTAAACAACGCACTTTGGAACTATTTTTGTTGATTGATTTCACAGTGACAATTATTTCCTGCCCTATTTTTAGCTTTCTTTTTTACGCACATGTCTGGCGCACACTGGGGACTTTTGCAGATGTATTCCAATGTGGTTTTACTGCAAATCGCAGATACAACAAATCAGAATCTAAAATTACATAACCGTCACTCAAGTCAAACCTGTTATTTTTCTTTCTAATAATATCACACAACAGCGGACTCCAGGATCAGAATAAAAATATATTTGACCTTTGATTCTCAAGTTTAACTTAATTATAGAAAAGCCCTGTTATAATTTTAGAACAGTCTTTATACCCTTCTCCTCTTTCCGGCCACACTCTTTGATGATGTGTCCCCCCAAGAGGATGGGCATTGGCACCAGCGACTGTGCCACCGGGCCGTTACATAATGCATTAGTGGGTGACAAGCACAATACAAACAACCCCACATTAACGTTCAGAGGAGCCCCTTCCAGTTAGTGGCCCTGTGCAAGAGCCGGCCAGAGAGGAAAATCACTGAGTGCACTTATTGTTAGCTTCAGCCCTTTACAGAACTCTCTTCCGCTGTGTTTTCGGTCCTCTCTCACCACCTCGCACTCATTTGAACACAGATGTATACGCTAGTGGACCACCGGCTCCATCTACAAGGTAAAAATATACTAAAATTCTCACATAGACTGGTATTTTTAACCAATAATAAACAACTAACATCTGATTTGCTTGAGTTGGTTTTGACAAAGGCTAAGTGATTAAGCTATTACATCATGACTTGATTACTAAACCTTTTATTCAATCGTAATGAATGGGTTCTTGATGTAACTAACTATTGAAACTATATTAAGGATGTTAACACGCCCTTACGGCCTAAGATCAAGACATTTTGTGCTCAAAAAGTGTGCACTGTCTTAATGTTTTGATGAAGTTTTGAGTTTGAAAAGCGAGTTCCACACAAACCGCTGTTCCTTTGTCGTTTTTGTCAGATTTTGAAGATGAAACAGCAGCTGTAAGATGACAGGTTGACAAGTCAAGGAGAAACAGCGATATATTTTCAACTGACTGCTGAGATGTGGTGTAATGCCGAGTGAAAAGTTGGGACGAACTTAACACAAAAAGATTTATTTAAGGGTTGAAAATAGATCCCTAAGAGTATGACAGTCTTTACTTTCAAAGTGTCAGTGAGTCCAAGTTAACAGTGGAGGAGGTATTAATAATAGATTTGACCTGAGCTCAGTCAAAAACAGCAAAGTGGGTGTTTGTGCGATGTTTTTAAAAGTGCAGCGTCACACATGCAAACTGTAATTTTAAGGTTTTGCTCTTTAAGCACTTTGACTTGCACAAAGTTATCTGCCCCAGTGGCAGCTTGCAGAGGATCAGCACTTTAAAAAGGCAATAAAACCTCAAACTATTTTCAATTTCATAACTTTTTCAACTCATTAAAACATTTTGCTGTTACTTGACCCCTTACTACTGCGAATTTCTTTTTGAGAACCCTTCAGAGTTCAAACAAATGGCTCTTTACAAAGCTGAGGCCCTGTAGTTTTGGCCTCTGGTGAAGTATGGTATCTAATCATTGGTGGGAACAATCTCTGCATGTAGAAGCAGGAACTCCAACTTCAACGTTTGCCTACATTATCTATGGTAAAAATTACAGAGGGTATAGCTGGTGTCTAAGGATAGGATCTATTTGACCAAAGGCTGGAAAGTCTTAACAATTATTTATTATTACTCATTATTTAGGAGTAATTAAATGAAATACAGAAAACAGCTCTATAGAGAACCCATGGGAAATCCTTGCGAACCCTTTAGCAAAACTTTTGAACAAACCTTTTTCTTGCGAGTTGTCGGAGAAGAAGCCTGTCTCACATTTTCAGGAAGACTGTTCCAGATTTACGCTGCATACATCTGAAATTCAGCCTCCCCGTGTTTAGTTCTGACTCTGGGCACCAGCAGGAGGCCAGTCCCTGAGCTCCTCAAAGTCCGAGTTGGTCATAAGAAACCTTGGGAATTTCCTTGTGAAAGAAGAGGGTTTGTGCCTTAAAAAGCAACATTATATCATTCAATTCCATTTCTTTTTTTATCGCCCGAAATCACAGCAGTTGTTGTCTCTAAAAGACAATATCAAATTATTATTTCACCAACAACAGATCAGAGAATCAAACAGTCGGACATACAGCAATAACAAACATAGAAGCCATAAATGTCCATAAGTCCTCAATGCCATACGTCTCATGTTTGCCCTCTCCCAATAGAAATCCTATTCTTAATTAATAAAATAATTAGTCAATAAGGATGCCTCCGACCGAATAATTGAGCAAAGACCAACAGCCCTGAAAGCTTGACTCCATGAGCTATTGCTTTGACTCAATATTCTCTCCTTTTTAATACAGACAAGCAAAGGGCAGTCATAGTAATCGTGCTCGTTTTGCTATTGGGCTGAATTGGACAAGTATTAAAGGCATATGGTGCACTGCAAACAAAGCAACATATTCAATGAATTTATATGCTTTAATTTAACATTTGCCTGACAACCCCATGCTGGCAATATAAGTTTTGGCGTTTGCTTCCCCACAGAAACTTCTGAGTAGAGTTATGAAGCACCGCCTATCCCATATGCATGTTGATCTGTGTGGGGTGGAAGTCTGTCTCCGCCCTAAAAGTGAAAAAAAGAAACAGTGGAGGAGACTATCCCAGTCTGGAATGCGGCGTAAAGTCCAGTACCTCTCTGCACAGGAGCCGATTTTCACATTTACTACTCCTGAATTGGAATACACGGCTTTTCCATGAAAGACAAAACTACCACTTTGACGTGTAAGTATCAATGCACATGCACAGTAGTAATAATAGTGCACTTGCAGCTTCAACTGTTTTTTTTTTTGCATTTTCGTGTGTTTTTGACCCACATATCGCCTGTGCGCGTCTAAACTTGATCATCACTCTTAGATGCGCCTTTTTCTCTATAGCGCTCATGCCAATCTGCACTGACCCCGGGTATATGGCGCGTTTTTATCTTTTACCAGCTGGTTTGATAACACAGTCGTATAAATACTTGTGTCGCTTTGAATCTTTCGCATTTCCCTCACTTGGAAGACGGGCAGAATGAGGAGCCACACGGATATTAAAGGTGCGACAAAAAACGGGATTAAACTAACAAGATTATAACTTTTTCCCCCCCGCAAAGTGCTTGTTTGGATTTTACGCGGGGTATTACAGAAGCTGCTTTGCGTGTATTCTCACCACACAGAGGGAAATACTAAAGTTATATAAGATTGAAAGATCACAATCGCCTTTAACATAGAATCTAATTTGCGTGCATTCGCTGTCTACCTTTTGCCTGAGGTTTTAAGTCAAATGCAAACCAGGTGCGTTACGTAACTGTGCCAAATGGGTCCAGCGGTGCGCGTTTTCCGCATATTTGCATTCAAACCTTGGGGCTTATTTTGACTTGTTTAGGCCTAATGTGTTTCAAGAGCTTGTCATTGGTTGAATCTTTAATTCGGTCGTTGTGCCACTTTCATTCACTGTACTTTTCCACTGGATTTTTTTTCCTTCCCTTGCTGGCATTTGGCCTACGCTCTGTCTCTCTCTTTTCTCTCTTTTCTCTCTCTCTCCTCTCGTGAGTACCCGTGGGAAGCCAACATCAGTCCATTTTTTTTTTTTTTTTTTTTTTTTTAACTTATTTCAAAACGTAATATAACCAGTAGAAGCTTTAAACAACTGGGATATAACTTTTTAAATGGTTATATTTGGGCCAAATAGTGAGATCTCTCATGTTTCATAATAAAAGCCAATGACACATCTGAATATTTAAGTTTTTTTCCTCTCTTTTGTCTATCTATTGAGTTCACCTTTTGAACCACTGTGCTATACACGTTAAGTTGTTATCGTCTGGAGCAAGTAAACATCTCGTGGTTGAACCTTTTCCCCATAATGTTAGGGACAAGAAGGCAGATTTTGAGGTGTGGCTATGACGTTGTAGGAGGTGGTGCAGTTGCTTCTCATAGGCCCAGACTTGCGTTAAAAAAGCATTGACGTCACGATTGTTAGGGAGGAGTCAGGATTGAAGAAGTTCCTCCCCACTTTTGGACTTTAATAGTTCTACCAAAATCAAGAGGAGTTATATTTTAACCCAGGCAAGCGGTGAGCACAGAGCAAACCCAAAAAAATGACCATCAAGACTGAAACATCTGAGCCTGAGCTTACTTTCTCCAAGTCTAAAGGGCTTGTTGGATTAGTCACCGGTATGGATAACTTGTGGACACGCAAAACATGGATTAACTTTTGTTTTCCTGCTTCTAAAAATGTTGGAAACTTTTTTGTTTTGTTTTTCAGCTTTCATGAAACAGAGGAGAATGGGGCTGAACGACTTCATTCAAAGGCTTGCCACCAACTCCTACGCTTGCAAGCAGTGAGTACCTCTGAGTCATCTTATTGTTTTGCTTTCTCTTGAGACCAAACCAGTGGAAAGTCAAAATGCCAGTGCAAGGATATATGAAACACAATTGCAATGTTTTGTGTTTTAAGCATTTGTGTTTTTTGATTGAATTTACAGTCCTGAAGTTACATCCATTCTGAATCTGCCTCAAGATGCTGAGCTCATGAATGCCAACCCTTCCCCTCCTGTAAGAATAGTGTATTTTTCTGTTTTTTTACAAGAGCTTTTCTCCAAGCAATAAGAACAAATTATGACGTTTTTTCTTCTACCCCACAGCCCAGTCCATCCCAGCAGATCAACCTCGGCCCGTCTTCTAACCCTTCAGCCAAACCCAGCGACTTCCACTTCCTCAAAGTCATCGGCAAGGGCAGTTTTGGTAAAGTCCTGCTCGCACGCCACCGCACCGATGACCAGTTCTACGCCGTCAAGGTCTTGCAGAAAAAGGCGATTCTCAAGAAAAAAGAGGTGAAAAATGCAAATGCAGATCAGATCATTTTGGATGGTTTTGTTGTGACCGAAACCTGGGTGCATTTTTCTGTCTGTACATCAGCCTTCTTAACCTTAGAACGTTTTTCTGTCACCAGGAGAAACACATCATGTCAGAGAGGAATGTGCTGTTAAAGAATGTCAAGCATCCATTTCTGGTTGGACTGCACTACTCTTTCCAAACAGCAGACAAGCTCTACTTCATCTTAGACTACATCAATGGGGGAGAGGTGAGTGTTACTGTCTCAGAATCTAAAACAGTGGGTTTTTGATACTGCAAAAATGTAAAAGCTGAAGTAACTTGAGGACAAAGCGGTTTTGGGAATGTGGAAATATGGGTCAAGAGGTGTTGATGAATCAGTCACGGAAAAAGCAGAGAGACAAAGCCTTGTAAATCTATAACCAAATCACCATTCTAAAAGTGAATGTGTTTCAAATAATATTTTAAGACTAGAAAAATGGAACTGTGTAATATAATTCATGTAAAAAGTTTTTGGCTCTCAAAGCATTTTAGTTTTATCACTAGTTTTCACATACATTTGTTTTCAGGCACATATTTAAATCTGCTTTTTCAGACAGAAAGGTTAAACGTAGAGGACCCAATCTGCTCACAAAAAATCTTACATGTATGCAAAAGTTAACATGTTTTATAATAATAAGAATGCTGTGGTCTGATGTAGCCATTATTAATTCATTATTTTACTTGTTTTGTTTATGAAAAAATTTGATACCTCAGGTTTACCTTAAATAGGAAATTGCCTATAAACCAAAACATAAATAGTAATTCCTATCTGCAGTAAACAAGTAAGCATTGCGTGGCTGTTTACGTGGCTGTTTACGTGGCTGTTTACGTGGCTGTTTGCGCGGCTTTTGGGTTTTCATGAAACCCAAAGCACTTTTCCATACACAGTGGCGGTAACCTAATACTGTAGCCGCAACTGCCTTGGGGTAGACTGAGAGAATTGAGGCAATTTGCACAACAACCGGCCTCTCCCACCACCGCCTTTCATTCACATTCACATTCACAAACACACCACATTCATTGGATTTGATGAAGGTGGATAAGGGCAAATAAATGTTTCAGATTGAGTTGAGGTTGAGACACATGGACAGAAGGGAAATCCTGTCATGAGAAGCTTAATCGAGGCCACTGGCTCCTTGCCTTTTTGCTCTTTCACTAAAGGAAACAGCTCTCAGGAAATCATGGGGTGAGCTGCAGAGTGGAGACTCGGGGCCAAAATTAGCATCGCTGCTGCTCAGACTGACCGTGTGTCTAATCGAGTTAATTTCCGGTGATTGTTGGGGAGGCAAAGATAGTCGATAATATATATTTATACACCCACACACACACATACACACACATTTATCTTTTGTTGTACACATATGTCATTCGTTTCCCTTTTCCTGTCTTATCCATCATTAAAACTCATCATTTATTTAATCTATTTTATTGCAGTTGTTCTACCACCTCCAGAGGGAACGCTGCTTCCTGGAGCCCCGGGCACGGTTCTACGCGGGAGAGATCGCCAGCGCCTTGGGGTACCTGCACTCCCTCAACATTGTCTACAGGGACCTGAAACCAGAGAACATCCTGCTGGACTCGCAAGGACACATCATCCTCACCGACTTCGGCCTGTGCAAGGAGAACATAGAGCCCAACGGGACCACCTCCACCTTCTGCGGTACACCAGAGGTAAGGGCCGCTTTGAGAGAGAAAGTCAATGTCTCATGTTTGTCTTGCAAAGTCTTATTCATAATGGTTTTTTTTCAGTATTTAGCTCCTGAAGTTCTACACAAGCAACCATACGACCGGACAGTGGACTGGTGGTGCTTAGGAGCCGTGCTTTACGAGATGCTCTATGGACTGGTACATTCAAATCTCATATTAGAAAAACATACTATTTGGAATCGCTGGGTTTGTAGTATTGTCGCTTATACATTTTTCTTCACCTACAGCCGCCCTTCTATAGTCGTAACACGGCAGAGATGTACGACAACATCCTGAACAAGCCGCTTCAGCTCAAACCCAACATTTCCAACTCAGCCAGACACTTGCTTGAGGGCCTGCTGCAAAAAGACCGTACCAAGAGGCTGGGCTGCAAGGACGACTTTGTACGTTACTAATCGGTTGCTTAAAGTGTGTTGTTGTAGCTCTTTGGATCTTACCCTCGTTTGTGTTTTGTCCCACAGCTCGAAATCAAGAATCACATGTTTTTTTCTCAAATAAACTGGGACGACCTCAACGCCAAGAGGATAACGCCCCCTTTCAACCCGAATGTGGTACGTTCCAGATTTTTAAAGTATAGTTCTAATTGGGACTTTTGCTTTCTTCTAAGCTGTGAATAAGTGGCTCAGTCAGTTGTGGTCTGGTCTGCCAACTAGTGGTCAACAACGTAACTACAATGCAACCTGGGCAGACTTGTATGAAAACAAATAGCATTAATTGATGTATAAGGGAGTTGGAAAATTGTCATATCAATGGCTTTTTTTTTTATATATATATAAAAATCATTATTTCCTGCACAAGGCATCTGCATAGAAAATCCTTTTGTTTAAATTTTGGCGTAATGTGCAGAAGGATTTGTTGGAAAAAAAAAAAGCAAGTATGGTTTATTTGGAATTTATACAACTCATGGTCATGTATAGTATGAGGTCAAGTATACTTCTTGTGTTGGCAGTACTTTTTTTTGCATCTCATGGATCTAAATATTAATTTCTTTCATGGGGTGAAATGAAAAAGGAACCCAAAATGCAGGACTGAAAATTAAAGTGTAATTCAATCAAACAAATCCAAGGTAACACCAAAATACCAAAAATCGGAACTGAAAACAAGCCAGGAACAAGCATGGTATAGACAATGGAAAGACAAAATGTGGGGAAAAGCACAAAAAATAAATAAACAGGGAGACACAGGAAAAACACATGAGGGTGGGGCAAACAATCAACAGGAGACAGGAAGTAACAAATATATTCAAATAAAACCAGTTTCAGAATCAGAATTCATTGTGTAGTATTTGAGCTACAAGACTAATCATTTTTTTCCTGCCCCTCAGACGGGCCCTAACGACCTTCGGCACTTCGACCCAGAGTTCACCGACGAGCCGGTCCCCAGCTCCATCGGCTGCTCCCCTGACAGCAGTTTGGTCACGGCCAGCATCAAGGAGGCCTCAGAGGCATTCGTGGGCTTTTCCTATGCTCCTTCCATGGACTCCTACCTATAGGACCCAGGACAAATGAAAAAAACAGAACAAATGAGACTCGGAACATACTTGTATCTTGACCCCCACACTCACCATCGAAACAATGGATTTTCCCATCACTGCAACCAGTCTTTGAACGTGCCATACCAACTTTTAACTCTTGGAACGCTTCTACAAGAGGAGTTTACTCTATTTATGACGGCACAAGTTAACACGCAAACATATAGGTCAGTTGTCAGTGTTGTTTCCATTCAGTCGTGGAGGTCCTTTGCACATTTATTGCTCAGGCAGCTCAACAGCCCCCCCACCCCCACCCCCATGTCATTACCGAGGCGACGGATTCTGCGAGGACAAGCACACAATATACATAATTATTCCATGAACCCACTGTATGTAGCCCTGCATTGTGTTCGACTGTCCACATTGTCAAAGGGGGCTATTTGAGGTTATGGTCAGTTACTTTGGTGCTTTGGTTTCTCTTTTTTTGTGTGATTTCTGGGCGGCAGGGAAAGGGATTCACATGAAACTGAATGTTACTGAGGGGGATTGGATCTTTGAAACGGTGCCTTCATGTTTTCTCTCCATTGCATCATTCGGGACGTTCTGCAAACTATATACATGTAGCACTTAGTTGTTTTGACATTATGTAGAGGTATTCGTTTGCACATCTGTGTCACACTATTGCTGGGAGAGGGAGGAAGAGTTAGCGTTGCTGCTATGTCCCTGATGAGAAAGAAGATTGTTTATCTTTGTGCTCGCGTCCCCCTTGAACAGTCTTCCACCAGCCTCACAGAGACCGCCGACCACATCCCAACTGAACATTCCAGTAAACTATGGCTGTGACGCTATTTAAGTTTGTTTGTATATTTTGAACGTACGTGTACTAGTTTGAATGTACAGTATCTTGAACAAATTAAGGTATGCTTAAATGTGTATATGTAATATGTTAAATGTACTGTAAATTGTAAAATTATTAAAGATATATGTGACCTTGTTTGGTTTGCAATAAAAGTTTAACTTTATTATACCGTAAGACATTGTGGATTCATTTACTATTGTAGGAAGAGTGACATATTGGATTCAAGTTTAATTTAGATGGATGTCATAATTACTATAACGACATTCTGGTCATGAGCTTTGGGTAATGACCGAAAGGATGGGATCGCAGATACAAGCGGTCCAAATGACTTTCCTCCAATCCCTCCCTGGGCGCACTCTGAGAGATTGGGAGAGGAGCTCAAGGAGACTTGAGGGAAGACCCATGACACGTTAAGGGTTTGTTTCTCAGCTGGCGTGGGACCGCCTCCGGAGTCCCCCAGATGAGCTGAAGGAAGTGTGTGTGGATAATGAAGCCTGGGCATATCTGCTCAGACAGGCAAACTATGGCCCGCGAGCTATTTGCGGCCCCCGGTGTAATTTAATTTGGCCCTCTGCCTTGTTAACAAAAAGCAGTTTTTAAGATCATAAACACGAGTTCACAGTGTCATCCAGCCAACTTCAGCTCAGCCAATATAGGAATGCAATTCCTCGTAGTAAATGGCCCTTAATGCCGCTAATGTACCTGCGAGATGGTAATGTATCAATCAGCCAACTTCAGCTCCATCATAGCTTATTATAAAGCTCTGAACAGCCCAAATCCAGTCAAAACAGTTAGACAATTTTGGTTGTTAGCCCCTTGACAAGGCCCCTTGACCCAAAGGCAAATACGTTTTAATTGGATGCTTAAATTGCGCTGCTACTGACTGGTTATCTGTGTTACACATTAAACATATAAAATGGTCTTTCTTCAGTAGTAAGTAGGTTAGTTAGTAAGTATGCCGTCAGAAGGCGTAAAAGAGTTGACCTTGGCCACTCTGCTCTGAGTGGACTTTAGTCTTTTTCCTGCGTCATGAGCCTTACACAACCACACACTGATGTTGAAGCAGATTTTTTCTGCACTATACAGAGCTGGCTGAGGTTAATAAAGCAACCAAAATGGTCATGCTATATTAATAACTTGCTAAGGAAAGAACATTCACAATAGTAGATATTGACCAATGCAGGACTGAACACTGTCATTATTTTGTGCAGTTATTATAAACCATCTTCCTAAAGTTCTTTCTTGCTCTAACACAAGGAAGACTATGGAAGTTGTTTGTCTCCCATTAAATATTATTATTGTGTGAAATCAAATATCTATAACTATGTATAATTATGAATCCACTAAAGTAGATTTGCTCATAAATGATTGACCATTTATTGCAGAACATTAAAATTGAAAATTTTTATATAATATGTAACATTTATTTATTAGTCATTCATAAACTCATGTAGTGGTGGTGAGGAGATACTGGATCTTCTGATATTTTACTGTATATCCAAAAGACACTATGTTTTCTTGGGGTTTTTGCAGCTGTGAGCCAACTATCAACGTTATAATAACTCAAAGCTTGACATATCTCACGTTGCCTGTACTGAGTCTGCCATTTAACAGTTTTACATTGTAAGTAGATTTTTGAACGATATTCGTATTTTCAGAGTTTTACCTGCAGCTGTCTTACAGATGTTTTGTGGGAATGTGCTGCCACCTAGTGGTAAGTCTGACCAGCACAAGTGTTTCCTCAACCGGGGGAAAAACATGTTGAGGAACATATTCAGAGCAAATAAAGTCAATTATAAGACTTTAATACTATTCTCACCAGCTGCCCCAGTTTCCCCATCACTAAAAGCATGTTCAATACTTTAGGGTGGATGATGTGTGTTTGTCAGTGGGCCTGTGGGAAGACAGATGGAAATTAGCTCATGGCTAATCTGGTGAATTTACAACACTGCTCTTTATTAGTCCGCTTGTAGATATTAAACATCAACATTTGGATTGTGGGGCGACAGCGGCAGTGAAATGGATTAAGGGGGAAAAAGTGGATTGTAAACCATTTTGTTTACTGTCTCATTATTAGGATAATAATTCATGTTTATCAAAGACTTCCAAGACATAATCAGATGTTCAAAGTTCCACATTTATTGCTTCAGTATCAGGGTGAAGCATTAGTTATTAGTTATGGAATGAAGTTTAATTTATTGAATGTGATGAAAAAGTTTAGTATAACCAGGACATTTTGACATTTGTAAGTTGTAGACATATTGTTGTATTTGTGGCATGAAGCCTCTTAGCTTACACCAGGGGTGCCCAAACTTTAGTTGTCGAGTAAAGATGTATAGGAGCCGAGAGCTGAACTGGTTACAGTCATTATTTTCACATTAAAAACTGTGCTTTTTATGTATGGCTAAATTACCTGATTTATTATTATTATAGTTAGAATTTCAATCCAAATAGATTCAGACGGGGTCACCATAAGGCAGTGTCTCGAGATTTAGAATAATAGCTTTCAGGTATTTGCATGAGTTTGATTGATTGTTTATCATAAAACAACAAATTTGTGCAGAGTGCACGGGGAAATAAGGTGGACAAAGACGACAAACGAAGCTCAGTGCCAGACCTGCGTGGACCAGGAGCTTGCCTTTCACAAGTGGTACATAGAAGTTGAAACAAAATGCTATACATGGTGCAACACAGTTTTAGGAACCCGTTCGTAGTTGATTTCAGGTCACAGACATCAAGCCACACCCTGCTGGACATGTAAGAGCAGGACATACACACAGAGCCACAGTGAGACTCCGCAGGGTTATAGGGCATTATTGATGCAGCTGCATGTGAAGACTATGGGGACAGATGAGCAGAACATTTGATTACATGTACTGACAAATCAAAGTACTAACTTTTAAACACAATATTTCCCTTTTCACTTGAGAATATATACTGTCTATGGAAGGGACAAGTGTACAGAGACTAGCAACATGTGTAAAGTGACATGTGTAACATGTGTTAATTGACCTCAGACAAACATTGTTCTCTCTGTGGGATACACCGCTGTACATATGAACACAAACCGACAACTCATTAAATGAACAGTGCTTCAGTATGTCATGGATCAGTAGTGACTATATTTGAGGAAAATAAAGTGTGATTCTCCTGTGATTGGTGGTCTGAGTGGACGGGGGCGGGGCCATACAAAGTCTGACCAAAACACAGAGCAGTGCGCGTGCACCGACACGAGCCCAGACTCTGTGAGCTCAGCTCAGGAGCCCAGGAGCCCAGGAGATCAGGAGCCCAGGCCGATGGAGCGCTGACGGAGAAATTGACCCGGAGGCGCAGGTAGGAGACTTCCAGGGGCCAGGGCTGAGGAGCGCAGCACTCAGCCTGATGCGCCTGCTTCACTCCATTTGTTGTCACGGCGCAACGCGCGGCGCGTCCAATCCGGTGTTTGTTCTATACGGTCATAGGAAGTGGCAAAGATGACAAATGTGTTTTGAATGTGACAATAAATCTTGGTCAGTGTAGTTCATTTGGGTGATGCCCAGAGCAGTCAGGCCTTCTTCTTGGTTTGGGCTTCTTCCAAACTTTTCATACTGTCGCTGTTTATGTATCTTGTTTATTGTTTTATTTATACGTTTGAAATAAACACGTACGTACACGTTCACACTCTTGTAATACTTTGTTTGCATTATTTATTTTAGACATTTTTGTCCATGCTAAAGTAATATCCTAGGAAAATATTGTTACCAGAACCCGTTCAAAGATCAATCAATCAATCAAAGTTTATTTGTAGAGCGCCTTTCATACACAGGGCAACACAAAGCGCTTCACAGTCCACATCACAAATCATCACATAAAACAAACACCAGAATCACAATTAAAACATTAAAATCACACAAAAGATTAAAACACAATTAAAACATTAACTTTAACATTAATATAAGATATAATGTTTCTCAGTGTAATGCTTTCTTAAACAACTTTAAAAGTCACAGCATAGGTACTTGGAGATTTCTTACATGGAAAACACATAACGATCCTGTTATTTATGGTATAATAAGTCTTGGCATTACAGGCTAAGGAATGAAAAGTATTTAATGATTCTTTAGTGATTGCACTTCATGATTTAGGTACTTTTATACTGTGTCTGTGCTCTTGTCTTTAGCCTAGCAGTTATGTTGAAAAACTAATTAAATTGTGTATTTGTAGTTGATATATGTATTGCCTTTATTATAGAAACGAATACCAGGAAAAAGATGGACGCTGATATCTCCTGTAAGGACACACTTAAAGACTGCAGCCAGATGCCCAGCTCATCCAAATCTACAGGTATTTAAATCATAACACAGCAATCAGAGGGAGTGGTATATTAAAGTTTGTAAAGGGTTAGTAAATGACACTAAATTACTTTGTTATTAGAAAAACCTCCAAGTTTGTCAACAGCGTTATAGTCCCAATAATGACTGAAAAACACTGTATTTAGAACCGCTGTATCAGCACCTTTTCACAATGGACTTGTCATCCTTTGGTCGTTATTGAACCATTAGCTAAATGTGTAACTTTCTGAATAAGCACTTCGTCCATTATTGATTATTGAAACAAACTGCTCAAACCTTACATGTGTTTTATGTTGAAACTATATCGGTCATTTGTTTATTATCATTCCGTCATCTATATACAAGGACACAGTTTATTATCAGTCACTGCACAACTTTTGCAACACAAAAACATGTAATGTTCACTATCTGTTATTGTTCATTTACAGCTATAAAATCTAAAAGATATTGTATAGTCTCCGGTCTTTGCCTTTTACTCCCTGCAGGCTGCAGCTGGCGTCTGGCAGTGGCGGCCATGATGGCGAACCTGAGTGGCCTGATGCTGGGTTATGAAATGGGGCTGACCTCGGGGGTGCTGCTGCAGCTGCGAGGTCTTCTGTCTCTGTCCTGTCAGGAGCAGGAGGTGCTGGTCAGTGCGCACGTGTTTGGAGCACTGTTCATCTGTCTGACAGGAGGTCCCATCCTGGACCGGTATGGCCGACGCTGCTCTCTTCTCCTGAGCGCCGCCCTGGTGGTGGTGGGAACTGTAGTCCTCATCTCCATCACGTCGCTGGTGTCTGTTGCTGCGGGTCGTGTGATAGTGGGAATGGGAACCAGTCTGTCTGGAACTTCGGCGTATTTATACATCGCAGAGATCTCCCCCAGAGAGCGGCGCGGCCTGCTGGTGACTCTCTACGAGTTCATGTTAGTTCTGGGTGTGATGCTTGGCTTCAGCTGTAGTTACGCCTTTGCTGCTGTGCCTCACGGCTGGACATTTACATTTGGACTGGTCATTCCCCCAGCACTGCTGCAGTTTGGGGCATTTCTGTTTCTCCCTCCTAGTCCTCGCTTCCTGGTTGCAAAAGGAAATGTGAAGAAGGCCAGGATTGTGTTGCAGAAAATGAGAGCAGGGTTAAAGGAGGACATTGAAGTGGAACTACAGGACATCCAGACGGGACTGAGGGAAGAATCTGAGTACAGTTTCAGACAGTTATTTAGTTCTGAGGCCAACCTGAGAGCTCGACTGTTTACAGGTGTAGCACTAGTGTTTCTGCAGCAGGTCACGGGACAGCCCAACATCCTCTCCTACGCCTCTCCTCTACTGCGCAGCATGGGCTTCACCAGTGACGATGCGGCCACTCTGGCTTCCACTGGCTTCGGAGTGGTCAAAGTGGTGGGGACCATCCCGGCTGTGATGCTTGTTGATCGCGTCGGACCCAAAAGCTTCCTGTGTGTGGGTGCTGTGGTCATGGGGCTGTCACTAGCCACTCTGGGGACATTAACACTGCAGAGCCAGACTCACCTCTCCAGCCTTTGTAAAAGTCACACACTAGACAACAGTACACTCCAAATGTGGGAACTGAACTGGAACACCACTGAAAATGATACATTTAATATGGAAACCTTCTCAAGCACATGGCAGCCAGAGGGGGCTCAGAGGACTAACTTTCAGGCTTCACTGAATGAAGGGACTGGAACTGTGTCGACCTCTCTGAAATGGGCCTCACTCATCGCCCTCCTGGTCTATGTGGCAGGCTTCTCCTTCAGCCTTGGGCCAAGTAAGAGTTGCTGTCACTATCATAACACTGACACTCCTGGTAGTATTGTTGCACTGCATCGCTCCGAAGTCATGTGACTGCAGAACCTGCACAACCCGATTTACCTGCCAGCCGTTCCTCAACCTACATTTCTATTTTCTAAATATTATTTATACAAAACACATATATAAATGGAATATAACAGTGTTATTGTCTCAAAACGTGTCCAATTAACTGTTTTAATTTCAGTGGTGTATGTGATGATCAGCGAGATCTTTCCAATGGGAGTCCGGGGCAGGGCTGCATCCGTAGTGGGCGCAGTAAACTGGGCTACAAACCTGCTCATATCCATGACATTTCTGACTTTAACAGGTAAACAAGAACTTCTGAAGTACATCTCATCACATACTCAGTAAAACATGTATATATATTTTTTTTAGAAATGGTGGGACTACCCAGTATGCTGTTCCTTTACGCTGGGATGTGCTTTGTTCTGTTGGTGTTTGTCATTCTCTGCATCCCAGACACAAAAGGGCGCACTCTCGAGGAGATTTCTAAGGAGCTAGCAAAAAAGTAAACAAGCAACTTATGAACAACCTTAAAATCCTCTAGTTCAACACAATTTCACAATCTTTGCATTTCAGAAACCACTTTGAGATGGGATGGTGCACGACAAGACGGACTAAGGCAGGTCTGATGAGCTGCGCTGAACAGGGCTCAAGTTGAGAAAATGTTTGACCTGTTATTTAGTGAATTACCAGTAAATCTCCTAGGACCTACTCTCAGGGTTTAAAATTACATTAAACACATACACACTTACAGAAAACAATGAAAGATCAGGAACTGTATGAAAAGAAATGCAGAAATGGGCCCCTGAAAAGTTAAGACGAGAGATGTGCGGAGAGAATAATGATCAGCCGCAGAGAGTTACAAAATCCAACATCCCACGGGTCCCGCAGCTGCTCTGGACCGGACTAAAGAAGGACTTTCTCAGTACACAAACAACAGCCTAAAGGAGAAATACCCTTTTTATTATTTAGGTACATGAGGATTTTCCCAAATGTCTTCTTTTTTAACAAAACTCTGGTCGGTTTTAGTAAGATCTCAGTCGCACAGGGATTATTCAAAAACAAAAGGTTGCTCATCCATCATCTGTACTTCAGTCAGCAGGTTTTCCCTCTCTGGTAACTCTCGGGTCTTATGTGCTGAGCACGTGTATCCAGAATGATTGACAAATGGGAGGATTAATAGTCTTGATGATCCACCTCCTGTACACATTTTAAATTGTTTTTATTTTTTTGTCCACATACATAATTTCCAAATTGGTGAAATTAGGAGCAATTATTTTTGAAAGTATTCACATTTGCATTACGCGTATGACAAGTATCTAGTAATTTAAGTATGAGCCCATTAGCGTTACGTTTTAAACGTTTAAAAATCCTTTTTTTTTAAAGAGGGAAAAAGTAAGTTTTATGAACTCGAAGGAAAGAAGATGGGTCCCAATTATGCATGTAATTGTATCTTAAAACAAGTAGTTCCCATTTCTGTTTATCATAGAACTACCATTTCAATATCTATTTGAAAATCATAACATTTTCACTAGTCAGGTACCCAAATATAGTCAATCAACTATGCTCAACTCATGGAACAAATATATTTAATAATAACAAATAATCAATTTACATTGTAACAGATTTTATTTTAGTTTTATTGAAAATACAAAATGCAGAAAGCTGAAACAGATTCAACTTTCAGTGAAACATAAAAACAACAAATTCCTTTACCATTTACACTCACATTATGTACTTTATTTACAAAGGTAATGGCATCCAATGTCAAAAAGCTAAGACAGGGCTGCTGCTGTTTGTATGATCACTTGAAACACTTGTGTAGTGGTATGCAGTTTGGACAAACCTGTTATTTAAATAAACTAATGTTCTGTGTAATAAGAGTTTGGATATTTTTCTCCGCACATTTAGCAGATATAATTATCAAAGTTAAAATAAAAACAATGACTATAAATACCTATGTTACAACATGTGTGAATAAAATGCAATGGAAAAAATTGCTTGCAATCTAATGGACGGGCTGTTTCCCAAAAGGGAAGGATAAAAAAGACCAGACTTCGACCTTACCTGCTCTCCAGATTTAAAATTCATTATTCATTTATTTTTCAGTTTAAAAACATGTTTTTGACATTCCCGGTCAAAGGCCGGAGAACATCCTATGGAACCTTCATGAAGAATGAAAAGAATAGACTACTTTGGTTAAACTTGTCCGGAGTGCGTTGGTGAGATTAGGAAGACGTTTACAGAGTTTTGGGAGAATAAAAGGTTAAAATGATGCGAGGTCTGGTGGTGTGTAGTGGGGGACGTAAGGTGCATTGTCTCTGTTCCTTAGGCCGCACGTGTCCTCAGTGTCTTTCCAGTCACACTATTTACAAAGAGGTTTCTTACACTCGAACAGGAGAGGGTAGATTTCCTCCACAGCTGTGGCCACATTCTGCACATTTGGTCCTGTGTAGATAGAAGAGGTGGAATAAGGAACTAAAACCATGTCAGATAAGACAAAGCTATAAAAACTTTCTAAGAATGTACCTACAATAGTCTAAGTCTATTTGAAGAATGGTGACTTTCTCATGAAAGGTCATGAACCTTTGATGTGAAAACATTTTTGGGAGAATTAGGTTAGCACAGAGGGATTTCCTGGATGTAATATACCACTACAAAAGAATGACATGGCCCCAATCACCTTGTCTATTGTGTGGGGATTAGATCAAACCAAAGACGTTAGTTACCTTTTGACAACAGGGCACTTCTTTAAGTACAGTAGGTAATATACCTTTAGATAACGTATTATGAACAGGACAGTTTACATACACAAGCTGAATGTTCATTATGGAACTGTGTGGTTAGTCCAGGTCAGGAGTCTTGGATCATAGTTTTTCTGGTTATGCTTTGCATTTGGCACAGAGCAATGAATGACTTAACCGCCAGGTTACTTAACTGTCTGGTCATGGAAATATTTTTATTATTTGGCAATGAGCAATAGACTCATAATACTGTAACTACTGTAACTAACCCCGAACATTGTAAAGCGCTTTGGGTGACTTTGGTCTGTAAAAATGCGCTATATAAATAAAGTACTTACTTATCAACTACAATAACTATTTGTATAATGTGGAGTACTTGAAGCATTTACAGCTAGCTAAGAAACATCACAGCTACTTATTTTGTATATTTTGTGTGCTCCCCGTGTCTCTTACTACTGTCCTGCATGTGCACTACAACATTGAACTTTCCCCACTGTGGGACGAATAAAGAATCTCTTACCAGTGACTGTGATGCTGCCTGTGGAGAATACTTGTATCGTGGCCTTGAGATGTTTGATCCTGTAAATGGCAGCAGGATGCAGCTCTGGTTCATAACTGCAGAGAAAACAAATAGATGGTACATCATGAGCTCAACAGGGGTTTTTCATCCACACAGAACAAAATTATGAACACTGCGTTTTTAATATTGCTCCCACTTGACATGAGTCTAACCCAGGGGTGCCCAAACATATTAGGAATAGACCCACTTTAGTTAGACAGACTGTCCAGGCACTGACAACCCAGATTTTAAGACTGTTTTGACAGAATGTGGGCTGCTCTGGACTTTAAATGGGGGATGATAAGTCCATATTGATTCACACCACAGCTATATTAGTGACATATATGGAAGTGTGTGACACAATCAAAAACAAATCTTAGTATATACAAATAGTTGACGTGGTTTCAGAGGTTCTGAGCTTTTCACAAGATCTAGCATGATTATATTGGTGGAGCTGAAGCTGGCTGGATGACACTATCCCCTCAATGATTATTTTGTGTTAGAAAGGGAGAGGACACTGCGATTCCCTGGTCTAACCTAAAGCTATACAAATCTGTACTCATTTATCAGATATTTTACATAAGTGTCTTTTCAGTGAGCACTTATCTAATTATTTTCAAAACAATCCATCAGCTTTCACAGGAGTGGCATATCAAGATGCAGATTAGACAGAATGAATACTGTACAGGTGTGCCTTGGACTGTCCACAGTAAATCTACAGTAAAACTACAGTAAAACCACACTTTGCCATGCATTGCAACACTTTCACTACACAAATGGTCCCTGCACTGCTCCATCTCTGTCTCATTCCCAATTTCCCCTCACTATATCAGCCAAGGACTGTAACAGTATTTCTATAGTACCAATCAAATGACAAATACATTAATCTACCACGGATGTATTTTGAAATAGACGTATCACTAAAAATTAAACGGGGTGCTGACAGTAGCTTTGTGTTCACATACATACATGAATATATGTAACCATCATTTTCAAAGTGAAAATTTACTTGAAATTTTAATGTTAACTGTAACTTATCATGAATGTGAGCCTTGCTCAGGAATTTAAAAATAAATCTTTAAGAGTGATGAAGAACTAGAAGTATTATAAATACAAATACAAATAATAGAAATGGTAGCATCATTGTATGAATGTGTCCACAAGGTGGCATATAATCCAAGCAAAAAAAAAGGTATTAAGTAATACATGTTGGTTAATGATTATACCTCAAGTTGTTCTGGTCACCTAGAAGTGAAACTTACTTTCTGCTAAGCCTGATAAATCAGTCAAGGAACAGTAAACCTAGGACTATTACCTGGCAATGGGTCTGTTTTTCTTCGTAAAGTCAATGAGTTGGACGGAAAAGGGCATCGAGCAAACAGCCAGAACATTAACAACCTTAAAGGCTGAAAACCTGACCTGTAAAGAGCATAAACATGTTCATTAGTTAGGATGGTTACACTTTCTCCACATTATAATAGCGTCACTGTATAATCCTACCTTAAAGCCAAGTTTCTGCAAACAACGAGCTAACCTCCGAGCACCCAACTTGGCATCCATCTCACTAGAAAAATTAAACAAATGAACAAACAATAAATACTGGCAACTAATAGCATTTTTGAGAAAAAAGAAACAAGTCCTTGCAAACCTTGTTGCACCAGTGCAGATTATCTTCCCAGATGACCATATTGAGGCTGTTATTTTCGGTTTACGAAGCTTCATAAGTACTTTCTAAAAAAAAATAAGTATGAAAGTCTAGGCATATAGTATTTACACCGTCATCACACATTATGTATCTCGTCAGTGTGGAATCACCTACCCCAGATTCAGGCTTATGGATGACATTATTCCCCTCTAAAGCAATGGTGCGCAAATTAAGGTGGCACCTGGTTCTAAAGGTTGCCACCACATTGGTGATGATAATATCCAGCGCCTCATCATTGTTGGAATCCATCAGGAAGTGTGCAGCACAGAAAAGGCAGAGGGTGACTTCTCACAGTCTCATGATCGCTTCCACCACCATCACTTAGCACAAAGTTCCCAGGACCTACAAGCTAGAGTACATACAACAATTTTATTGATAAATACATTCACACAGGCATCACAGTAATTGTTTTGATAATAACTAGGGCCTTAAATGTCCCCACTTTTGGGGGAGTAAAGGTTCACTTATTCATTTATAATGTCATATTTGAGCTTCAAGTCTGTCTCAATATGTACCTTTTTATTATCTAGATACAATGCACATAAATTAACATGTGTGAAATGTAAATATTCCCGAATTATAGCCACAAAGCTTTTATTATCCTCATTTCTGAGGCAGGCACAGAAACAAGAACAAGTACACAATGCCTAGGCGATGATACAAAAGAATGTTTAGAAAAGATTAGTACAATAAAGTCAATGTTAAGATGCACCATAACGTGGCCTTTACTCATAGACCAGTAATAAGTCGCTTGTTGAGCGCTCATCAGCTGCCAGTGTTAATGCAAACACTACAGGACATGCTGTGGAGAGCGTTTGTCAAAAATGATGCAGGCTCAGTTTATTAGTTAAGCAAAGTAACTTAGTCAGGAGTACGAAATGTAGTGCTAGACGTTTCAAATGCAAAGCTACGAAGAAGCTTTCCAAAGCTCAGTTAGCAAAGAGCTAACACCAATACCACCCTGTTGTCTTCACGTCCTTTAGTAAACTACACGTCTTTAAACCACAATCGGATGCCGAAGCTTACGACAATAACCCTACACAACACCTGTATTGAAATATAGACGTCGTTATACTAGTGGAAATGTTGTCTTCAACCCGTTAGCAATCAACAAAGTAGCGCAGAATAATGAATGAAAAGTTATTAGCATAGCAAGCTAAATGTTGAAGCTAAGCAGCGTAAACATAAACATACTTTTTCACATCAGTGTGTTTTGGAATCCCTATAATCTCCGTGTGAGGTTAACACTTGTGATACCTCTAAAATCATAAATAATGGTACTAACCCCTTTTTCTGTGGAGGAAGCAGTGTTTCCGGTGTTCTTCCAAAGTAAAAATATAAACAAAACAGGATGACGTCACCATGCACGCACAATTTCCGCTTCACGTAAATTAGGTTTTTAATATCAATGACAGACAATAACATTTAGTCACAATAGTTTATTAATATACAACAACTATAACATATTATTCTATATTTTCTATTTGCGTCCGGACTATAGTCGATGTCGGACCAGATCTTGATGGTCAATCTAACACAACACTGCCATCCTCTGGTAAAATGCAGTCGCACATTCAGGAGGTCTGTGTACAAAAACATAAATAGTAACACACAAAACATCTTTTAGTATAGCAAGAACGTATTTATTGAAACAAGCCTTCTGTCTTTTCTTTATTTGTCCATTGTAGCATATAGCTGGTTTTTGATCCCACATAGATTCTTATTGTCAGTGATAAAGAAGAGCACATCTGGTCAGTGGACACTTGTGAGAAAAATGCTACAATAGACAAAAGCCCCAGTCTGCAGTGCAAAAGGCTATGAAAGTTTGCACCATCAATGACATAATACAGCCGCTGGTGACTCATGAATGAAGATAGTCAATGGATGATTCCAAAATGTCATCCAGGACTTACAGTAGGCCTACACAATATATTCAATACATTGACTCAATGGGATTTGGACAGGTAAAAACACTGATTAGGGCGAAATATTGGTCAAACATACGATACGTATTTTAAAAAAATGCTACTATTTTGTTTTTGTGTTTTGTACTAGGTTTGTGAAAAACTATTGCTATAGTGAACTATTTAAAACAAAAATATTATACCAGCTACAGAGACATGTCCCTCCAGCCTTACCTTCCCAGGGCCTCCACCCAGTGGGACATGCCACAAATAACCAACTAAGGGCCACCACCTCATCTTCATCTAGAGATCACCAATGGAGAGAGTGCCTCATGTGGCCTCAACCCACTTTATGATTTATTTAAATGTTCTGAAATAGAAATAGCTATTTTTTTACACAAAACAAGCTGCATTTATTTCTTGCTGTTGGATAATCTTCTTATGGAATGTTACAGTATGTTGTACTAAATAATTATGCTACATAATTAATATACAACATTATGTCTAAATAATGAAAAAAACAGCACTAACAGTTTGATTAGAAAAACTATGACTTTTTGTAGAAGTTAATATATGTTCTTCTAATTGGGCCACTCCTCATGGAAGAAAGTTTGCACACGTGCACACTTTGAACACTTGTTGCTCACTTGTCTTATTTGTGTCTCCTCCCTGTTTACCACATTACTGTTGGATCCTCATGGGCTTCCCATACGGAGTAAATCCTAGCAGTCATATTCTCTTCTGCTCTCCACTCCTTGTCAATGAGTATGTTTGCGACTCTGGTTTGTTATAGTGCCTGTTCCAGAGGCTCTGTATGTGCCGCTGTAGCTGCTAAGGAGTATGTTTACAGTCCACTTGGGTTATAGCAGGGACTTCCCAGGGGAACAATGCTCTTCTTCTCATTAGGTCATATGACGCGCCATGTAAACACACAGATGTGAGCACTTAGGCCTTAATACAGTCAGATATGTCTTTGGATAAATAGCCGTCCATCACAGGGAGCTGCCCTGTGTCGAAGTGCGATGGAGAAACACTGGATTAGGGAAAAGGCCGGACATTTTAAGCAATAGCCATGTACAACTATGATTCTCAATCTTACACTGCTCCCAATCAGGCCATGCATTCATAAGACCGATATAAGTTACTGTCATTAAACGGGTTGCATCATCAGGTAGACACTTTTGAGTTTTTAAGAAAAAGTTTTTGGATGCTGAAACATCATATACACTCATGTGTAGATTATGAGATTCACATGCATTATGAATTTATATATACTTTACTGTGTTGTTTATTGTTGTTGTTTTAATAATTTGAGTTCAGAACCTTTTTGTTGACACCTCATGCATTGCATGGCAGTTACGCAGGGAAAGAATCAACATTTCAGCACACTAAAAATCAGTAACACTGCAATAAGGAGTACATTAGCCATGATCATAAGTCAACCTAGCAGCTCCTTCTAGTGTAATATAAAAAATGCATAATTTTGTGGGCAACAGTTGTACTGCGGTGCCGCTGACTTCACCTCTGCTGTAAACGCAGCGTGTTTATCAGTAGTGTTTATGTTGGGTGCACTTCACACATCTAAATCAAGAGGACTTAAGATCTACACTAAAGCTTCTAACAGACGCGGCTCGGGCATTGTAAATGTTTCAGGGTTTTATGTCTTTTCGAGAACACTGGAGGAGGGTTGTTCAAGCACTGGATACTTTTAATGTTTGACACTGGTGGGAAAACGACAAAAGGAAAACAATGGGATTGACATAAAAGAAGAAAAAAAGTTTTGTTTAATAGTGATGGAAAAATGCCATCTATGCAGTGGCCACAAAAGAACTAAAGGTACAACATTCAAAACAAAAGTACACCTAAATACATGGGCTTGTGGGCTAGGCAGTATATGGATGTCATTGCATTGGAATGTTCCACAGAAAGGCATTACAAACTGATATCCAGAGTTTTAATCGGCCCACATTAGAAACTATCAGTGTGGTTGACTCTTGATGCAGATGTGACAAAAGCGTTCCTGTTTGTGTTACAGATAAAAACGCTCGACTATCTCCACTGACCATGCATTAGAGACGATTCCTCCAACTGTTAAAACAAATGTGTCGTGTCACGTTTGTATTTGAATATTCAAATATGATGTTAATTTAGTTCCGATGTAATGAAACAGCATGAGTTGAGTGAGTACTAAGCTGAGAAGTAATGAATGACCAAATATGCAAGAAATCACTATAACACAGTAAGTAATCCGTAATAATTATGATAATAATAATAATAGTCATCAAGCGACACGGTGGCTGACTGGATATCACTCTCGCTTCTAAGCAAGATGGTTCTGGGTTCGAATCCCAGTCGGAACAGGGTTGCTCTGAGTGGAGTTTGCATTTTCTCCCCATGTCTGAGTAGGTTTCCTCCGGGTACTCCGGTTTTCCTTACCACTAAAAACATGTGCAATAGTTCAGGGTGAATGAGTGAGTGTGTGTTTGTGAGTGCGAATGTGGAACAACGGCTGTAAATTAGCCCAAGGTTACAATCTGGAGTGATGTGTTCATAAACATGTACTGTCCCAACCAAATAAACAATAAATACATAAATAAGTAATAGGATTGTAATATGCTAGGAATCAGAAGTTTGTATTTGACTCAAGGAGACTGAAAGAGTTGATTTGGTACCATGTATTAACAAAAGAACAAATTGACTTACAAAATAGTGACACACACAACATCCAGCAACTACACAGGGTACAAAGTATAGCTTAAGTAAAGTCAAGTTACTCACACCCGTTCAAAAAACAAATTTGTTATGAGTTCAATGTACATCAAACATTATTATCAAATGTCACTACATAGAACTTTTTAACATATCATTCATTAACAATTACTTATTGTAATATTGTACAAGCTTCATGACTGTAAAGAAAATGGTGTACGGGACAGAGATGGTTGTGTGAGCGGGCGGAGCAGAGGGAATCCAGTGCTGTCGAAGCTCGGGGGTCTCTCAGTGTAAACAGAGACGTGGGAACAAGCTGCATGTTTATAGCACAAGGGCCAGTCACAGACACACAGAGTGCATGCTAGCTCTACATGTAAGAGCAGGTAGAGCAGTGCTAACATGCACCACTGCGATGCACTAAGCTCTAATAATGAAGCAACCGAAAGTTAGAAAGTTACCATTGAATTTCTCTGTGGAGATGAATACATACTGTAATTACATTGATATTGTCTTTGAACAGATCTATGAAAAATCTATTAACCCTTCAAGGTCTAAGCTCATTTTGGGGAACTTTCCTCGCCTGGTTTTCTTTGTGTATAATTGCTCATAAAACAGTCATCTTGTGATGCAGAG